ATGGTGAACAGGTGCCAGTGAAGCTTTCGGACTAAAAGCAGACTAAGAAGAAGGAAGAGAGGACCCACCTATAAAAAACTAGCCACTTGCAAATGGCAGAGCTTTGATAGAGTGATGAGCCCTTCATGTAGGAAGACATTCAAAATACAACTGAGGAGGAGCCTCCTCTTCAGGATAGAGTTAAACTTAATGACATGGATGGAGCAAAGCTTTGGGGACCTCCGTTTGCTGCCGGAACATGACTCAAAATGAGAAGAGCAGCTGCAAGTATCCATTAAGAAATAGAATGAGGACTAGACAAAGTATGATTCCAGGAAATTGGAAGTCATCAAAATATGAAATGAAACACATAAAGACTGATATCCTAGATATGAGAGAGCTGAACTAGACTGGTACTGACCACTCTGAATTAGGTAACATATGGTTACTGTGCCTGGAATGACATCAGGGACGACAAGCTTTGTCAAAAAGAGTATTTCTAGATCTAGCTTGTAGTACAATACTGTGGGTATAAGATAATATCCATATGCCAGCAAGGAAGACCAAGCATTACAACTATTATTCAAATTCATGTACAAACCACTAAATCCAGTGATGAAGATACTGAAGTATTTTGCCTCCATTTTCAATCTGGAACTGATCAAACATGCAACAAAGATGCCTTGGTAATTACTGACAACTGGAATAAAAAGAAACAACGAGGAAACATCCATCGTTGGAAAATATGGCCCTGCTGATATGAAATGAAGCTGGAGGACAAATGATAGAATTTTGCATCACACATGCTGTTTTTAAATAACATAAATGGTAACCATACATGTGGATCTCAACAGATGGAATCCACAGGAATCAAATCATCTACATCTGTGGGAACAGATGATGGAGCAGCTCAATAGCATGATATTGAAGGCCACAGGTTGACTCTGGAACAGGCCATCGACTGCTAATAAGCAGGTTCAGGTTGAAGCTGAAGAAAATGAAAACGAGTTCATGAGAGACACAATATGATCTTGAGCATCTCTGAAGGTGGAGACCATCTCAGAACAGATACGAACATTAGTGACCCAACACCAGGGGAGGTGTGGGATACCATCGAGCACATCAGACAGGAAGAAAGCAAAAAACAAAAGCAAGAACACTGGGGGACCTGAATCTATGAAACAATGGAAAGTCTAGCCTTCTTGGATCTGAGCCACTCACGGAGCTGGTAATTGAAGGTTGGTGGTGAAGTGGAAAGACCACTAGACTCAATTAGACAGGTAGAACTTGACCTACCACTTATTCCCTCATCTTCAAAATAGCACACGATGCCTTCTTTCACAAGGTTGTCATAAGGATAAAATATGAGATTACACACAAACCCTCCTCCTAGCTCCGTGTCTGGTGTGAAGTAGGTGTTTGGTAAATTACTCAAAACTAAATAGGAGTCATAAAATGTTCAATGGGACCAAACTTGGAAGTACAGCCTCCATCTCTCTGCCTTACTCTGTGTTCCCTAGGGTTAGCGCCCCGTGTGTCATGGAATTTTCAATGGCCTCATATGTATGTGATAACTGGACAATGAATATAGGTCAGACTGGAAAAGAATTGATGCATTTGAATTATGCTGTTGGTGAAGAATAATAAAAATACCATGAACTTCTAGAAGAATGAACAAAGCTGTCTTGGAGGAAGTATAGCCAGAGTGCTCCTTAAAGCAAAGATCTCTAGACTTTGTCTCGTGCATTTTGGACATGTTACCAAGAGAGATGAATCACTGGAAAAGGACATCAAGCTTGGTAGATGGTCAGCAAAAGAGAGGAAGACTGTCAATGAGATGGGTTGACAGTGGTTGCAACCAGGGGCTCAAAAATAACACCAAAGGAAAGATGGTGCAGGGCTAGGCAGTGTTCCCATCTATTGAACACAGGGTTGCTATGAGTCTGTACCAACCCAACGGTGCTTAAGAACAGCACAGTTCTTGACAGAAAGCAGATGTTTATCACTTTTTCAATAAGCGAATGAATGGATAAAATGAAATAAGAGAGATCATTACAGTACCATATTGGCAAAAACACATAACCTATACTCGGACTTATCTGCACCATTACTAGAACCCTGGCTATGGCCCAGGCATGGCACCTAGCAGGGTGCTTGGTGTCATAAGTATTCAAGAAGTTCTTGCCAAACAGATAGACCCAAGGAATTATCGGACACGTCTACGTAATCAAGTGTGTCAAGATGGGGGAATGCGTTGGGAAGTTGGAATCTACAGTATTCAACAATGAAACCCACACTCAACCCACTGCCACTGAGTTGATTCCAACTCATAGTGAAGCCTGTGAGGGCGCAGGAGGACAGCCTTGGAAGTTTCTGAGAACAGTTTCTGAGACTGCAGGCTTTGATTGGAGTAGACAGCCTCATCGTTCTCCCTTGGGGCAACTGGTGGTTTTGAATCGCCGATCCTGGGGTTAGCAGCCCAATGTAAAACCACCACCACCACTGCCAGGGCCCCTAAATGATAAAATAGGTTCACTTATTTTCCAAATGATACTTGGATGAGAATGTTCAAAGTTCATTTTGAACACAACACACACCGAAGCCTTGTCAAGTGCTTCCTAAACAAATGGAGTGCAATCCGTTGGGTCCGCTCCGCGAGTCGAGCGGAGGTGGAGAAAGGGATGGTAAAACTCTAAAATGGAGGAGCCTTAACTGGCGGCCTTAGAGTCTATGCTGGCTCATAGCAACCCTACAGGACAGAGTGGAACTGCTGCTAGGGGTTTTGAGAGTAGAAAGCCTCACCGCTCTCCTGCACAGCAGCTGGTGCCTTTGAATCGCTGACCTTTTGGTGAGCAGCCCGAGAGGATGCCCCAGGCCTCCAGAGCAGGCAAGCTCACACAGACGACAAAGGGAAGATGCCGAAGGGTCACTCTAATGATAACCTCCTTCCCTTTCCACATGAAGGGTGGGTTCTCTGTTTGAATTTCAGTGACACAAACCCAGTTGTGAACATGATTTACCGGCTTCAATTGGCTCATCACTGTGCTTTCTTCTTCCGGGACAGGAGGAACCGTTTCGAATTACCACTGGGTGAAAAAGTAGTGCCATCGACTTTCAGCTGATAATTTGAGGCTATGCTACACCAGTCTGAAAGATGGAGTGTTCATCCAGTCCACAAGCACTGACTGCTTCCCCTGGGCAACGTGCTGTCTTGGGCGCAGGGTACAGATGGAATCCCTAAGCCGCTGGCGCTTTCAGCCTCAGAGGGGCCAGAGGAGCGAGGCATGGTGACGGGGAGAAGGACGGATGCAGGAGCCAGGGAGCCTGAAGCAGAATGCAGACTTAGGCATTTGGGAGCAATGACTCAGCCCATCAGAGCACGTGTTTGCTCTGTTTGCCTGGAACGTACAGTACATTTGGCGATTAAGCAAACTTCCCAGGGATCGTTGTCAGTGATGTTTTCCACAATTGACACTGTTCTCCACCCCAGTAGGGCAGGAGATTGGGGCGTGATGATAATCCACTCCATTCAACATTGATCTGATGCAGATTAGTCAACTAGTTAGTTCCCTACGGACAGTGAAGATGCTAGCTGAGGAGAGGTTAGAAGAATATTATTGAACTGATGGAGGAAGGCTCACGGTCAGAGGTTCTCAACCTGTGGATCGTGACCCCTTTGGGGGCCCAATGACCCTCTCATAGGGTTTGCACGATTCATAACAGTAGTAAAATTACAGTTATGAAGTAGCAACGAAACTAATTTTATGGTTGGGGGTCAGCACCACATGAGGAAGTGTATGAAAGGGTCACGGCAGTAGGAAGGTTGAGAACCCCTGGTCTAGGTGACATAAAGAATGGCCAAGAATGAAGAGAAAGACTATGGCTAAGGCTTGTTTGTACTCTCACTGCCATTGAGTCTGTGCTGGCTCATAGTGACCCCCCTGGTGGGCTTCCGAGACTGTAATTGCTTACTGGAGCAAAAGCCCAGTCTTTGTCCTGTGGAGCTGCTGCTGGTTTTGAACTTCCAATCGTGCTGATTGCAGCCCAGTGTGTAACCACCACACCCCCAGGGCTCCGTAATGATGGTTAGGTCAGGCTAACTTTTCTCCGGATTTGAGTCTCCCCACAAAAACCCAAACCAAGCTCACTGCCGTTGAGTCCGTGCAGACTCGTAGCACAAGTAGAGCTGCCCCTGTGAGTTTCTAACACTGCAATTCTTTTTCTGGGAACAGAAAGCCCAGCCTTTCTCCCATTTGAGTCCCAGAGCATTTGAAATTGTGCCGTCTCTAAAGCTAAAGGCGTAAGAATCACAGTTATTGATAACGAGGCTGATACTACCAACAAACATACAGCAGTCGGACCATGGTTTGGAGGAAAAATGAACCTTAGAAGCTTCCTGAGACTCAAATGTCATTTTTAGCGGCTAACGTGTTTCCAAGTTGGCCATTCTACATTTGGATGCACAGAGGAAGGGGGGGAAAAGCTCCCTGAAGGCCACATGCAGAGGAAGGGCTGCAGACAGTGACTAACATTCTGTTTCCTGCTTTTTATTGGCTTGTATTCTTTGAAAAGCAAAACAAAACAGATAGGAGAACCGCTGATGTGCAGGCAAGCCTGATGCTGCCATGGGTCGGTTGTCAAAAGATGTCGTATTTCCAGTTGGGAGAATGCACATCAGTGTGGCTGAGCTGTACATGTGGTGGTCGTTCCATCAGTGTGTGCTTACCCCGCTGTGTATAGTCTCAACAACAATAAAAATAAATTATATGTATAGTGCAAACTCGGTACACGTATGTTTCCAAGAGTTCATGGAGAAATTCCACCGTCTTTTCGTCCCTTTCCATGCACACTTTCTGCTGGCTGGGAAGCGCCCTCATTGCTGTGTGATGGCTGAGTCCGGGGTCAGCTGTGATCGTGTGTGCTGCTGGACAGAGCAGGAAGAACACCACCCAGAGGTGTGTCTTCTGAGCTCCATGTCACCACCCTTGTTGTTGCCATTTATAACACTCTCTCCAAAGGCAGACACCATCAATACAACCAGCATTTACTGAGAACCTACTATGTGCCAGACCCCGGAGCAAGGTGCTTTCTTATAAGATCCAGCTGGGTGAGAGGCTACAGATGAAACTTGGGGATCTACTGGCAACCAGTGGGGGTCACATGCTCACCCTTAAGACTTCATCCGGATTTCACCAAGCTAAGCATTTTCAGAGACCTTCTCCTTTGCAGGAAAAAAAAAGGTGTGGGGGGGTGTAATTTTACTTCTTCTTTCTTTTAACCCCCTTTTCACATTCTTGTCAGTTTAAGTTCCTTTCTTTCATGCATTCTAATACCCATATATTTCATTTTCCACCCACCCCGACTCCCTGCTCCGTCCCATTCTATCAGGGGAGAACTCGTAAATGTCATTGGTCACAAATCCACTCTCTGTGCTCGCCAGAGTCACAAACCCACTCTCCGAGGGGTTCACAGCCACGTTGTCATAGTCACAAGACATGTCATCAGGCGTGGCTTCTCCTGAACACACTCGGAAGGAAATATTCTTCAGGTCTGGCCGGGTCTCCGCTAAGTCAGCCTCGCTTTGTTCTCTGATGACGTTATACACCTCCAGGTCCAGGCTGCTTCCTTGGTGGGGGGGCGGCCAGATGGTGGGCTGATCCTTTGTGCTAGGGTCTGGCTGCTCCTGAGTTCTAGGGGAAAGCAAAGCAAGACTGAGGGTTCTCGCCAAGAGAGATTGACCAGGACCCTGTGCTTGTCTGCCCTTCCCACCAACCTCAGCTTACAGGCCAGGGCTTTTGAGTGAAGGGCAGGAAACATTGTTGTTACCCCCAAACAACTGTTGATCACTCACTGCTGCCAGAGTGTACGTCAAGGGTGCTGAACTTGGGGTTCATAGACCCCTCAAGAGGCCCATGGATAGAAATGGACAGGGGGTGGCCAATATCACATTAGGAAAACACCCTAAATTGAAATTTAGTATGTCCTTCAATTATGAATGTAGGAAGGAAGCCGTAGCAGGGTTCATAATAGCTGTGGCTTTGTCATGAACAGAAGCACAAATGTTTTCCTAGCATGTTATTATAGATCTCTTGAAATACATCTCACGCTCCTCTCTCTCACACATTTTAGTCATTCTAAACCTGCTGCTGTTGAGTTGGTTCTGACTCATGGCGACCCCACGTGTGCCAGAGTCAAAATGCACAGGAGGGTTTTCAATGGCTGGAACCTCGTGGAAGTAGATTGCTAGGTCTTTCTTCTTCAACACCTCTGGATGGATTAGAACTACCAACCCCTTGGTTAGTAGCCAGGCACAAACTGTGCCACCCAGAGATGTTATGCTAATTATACGTACTACTAAATAACATACTACCATTGAGCTGATTCAGACGCATAGTGCCTGTAGGGCAGAATAGAACTGTTTCACTGGGCTTCTGGGACTAGATCTTTATGGGAGCAGACAGCCTCATCTGTCTTCCAATGAGTGCCTGGTGAGTTTGAACTGCCAACCTTGTGGTTAACAGCCCCACCGCACACCCATGGCTCCTTATCATTAAATAAATAGGCATTAATAAAGAAGTGCATATGTGACTACATCTCAGATGCATTTCTGGAAACCCTTTGCTCTACATTCTGTCCGTATAATGGCTTCTTTTGTCATCATCTGTACTTATCTGATGCATTTAAACCCTCATTCTGGGAAGGGGTTCATCGGCTCGCCAGATTGACAAAGGGGTCCATGGCGCCCAAAAGGTTAATGACCCTTGGGATCGGCAGACCCCTGGCTTCTGAGTCATGATTGTTGCATCCTGGTGACATGCTGGTTAAATAAATGGAGCAAAGGAGGGAACTCAAGAACCAACCGCAGAATAAGCAGCCGGGGCCTCAGTTGCACAATATTTTAAAGAGAATCCTATGTTTTAGGCTAAAATGAACTAGTCAAGGAAAATCATAATACTCAACTTTCTTGAATGCATTCTTTAATCATCAAATAGAATTAAATGTGTTATAAAGTGAGGTTGGTTCTACAAAGGAATCTTATGTCACCTTAAATTGGTAACCAAAGGGAGCCAGATCCTAAATTAGATCTGATCAATTTAGGTTTGATTAACCATGGTGGCTTGTGACCCTGCTCCTGCCAGGAGTTCTGTAGGCTGCGTAGTGCAGCTGCTTATAGCAACCCACGCTTGTTTGTTTTACGGAAAGAAGAGTCCACTAAAATGATTGTGTTTGTGTCTATTTCATTTTTGAATTAAGTGATTGAGTTTCAGATTTTTACCAAATTGTATCGGGACAGTCATTTTCCATTTGACTCACCCTTCGTTGCCTTGGCTCACTCACTCAACAGAAAGTTTTCTGAGTGAGTCATGCACACAGGAGAGCACAGTGTCATCCCTCACCTCATTAAGAGCCTTCCACACACTCACGGAGAGAAATGAAAGAATGACAGATCCTTAGCAATAGTTCTCTGAATCATAACGATGCACAAAAATGTTTAGTACATCTGAATTCCTTGAGGCGGTCAGAGAATCCAGTCTCAATTCAGCTCTGGGTGATTCTCTGGGAGGTGCTGAGGCTCTTAATGACGTGAGAAGGACAACATCCACATCTCCAGGAGTGCCCCCCGGATGCAGAACACAAAGGTTGACATGAGGAAGGTCTTGCTTACCTCTGCCTAGAGATCCAAACCCAGCCCACGACAGCGGCGATCACGAGGAGGAGGAAGAGGGGAACGCAGGGGATTAGGATGTAGGCCAGGTTCAAGGCAGTTTCTGAAAAGGAAAAAGCACCCCCCCCCCACCCGAAGCATTAGTAATGCCTTTGTGTGAGCACACTCTTGGAAGGATATAGATATGAGAAAAGGTTGTTTTACCCATACGAGGGTAAGTCAAAAAGTATTGCCAGGATTCCAGTTCATACATGCATGGGTTCATTCCAAGCAACACGTTTACACACATCCCTGTGATCGGTGGGTGGCTGTGGATCAGTGCTCTCTGTCGTACTCCTGTCTTGTCTCATTTGGGTGCCTTCAAACCAAAGGTCCAATCAAAGCTGTGGCTTCTCAGGGCACTCGCTGGGCCAGTGAAAGGTCAGCTCAGAAGGTGATGGAGAGATTCTCTCCTTTCTTGTCATTACCCTCCTTCAGCAAAGAAGGGGCTGCTTGGGCTGTGTTGATGCCCTTGCCTGTAAGGACAGCCACTGTGGGAAGCAGAAGTGAGGTGGCCACTGGGGAAAACAGGAAAGCAAACCAGAAGTCCCAGCATTTTTACCAGGAAAGAGGAGGCCTGGTAAGAGGAATGAGGTTGACGGTAAAGCCGTCTCACTGTTTTGGGCTGAGACTGAGTCCCTGTTCTCGGCAGGGACTATGAAATACTCTGAAAGTCTGATTTCTTGTGGAGTCTTTCACGCTTGTTAGGTGCCATCCAGTTGGCCTAACTCATGATAAGCCCACCCATGCTCAGTGAAATGAAATGCTGCCCGGGATTCTGTGTTGTGGATCAGACCGTTCCTGGACTTGATTTTTGTACATAGACCCCCTGGCCTTTTCTCTCAGTCCCTCTTAGTCTTGAAGCTCTGCTGAAACCTGTTGAGCTTCATAGCAACACACCAGCCTCCACTGACAGATGGGGGTGAGGGGCGGGGGTTGGGGGGTCGTGCATGAAGCTCGTGACTAGGGGTTGAACTCAAGGCTCCCTCACGAAAGTTGAGAATTCTACCACTGAATCATCAATGTTCTCCCATGAAAACAGAATCAGAGAATTCTTCCCCAAGGAGCTTCAAGGAGAATCAAGGATCGGGATCAGCTGCCCCTTCATATTCCCATTGGTCCAAGATTCCCAACCATCCAGAGGCCGTGTGTTTCTGTGCAAACCTGACAACTGGGAATACCTCCTACCCCCCAGGAGCACTTTAATTATCCCCAGTTATAACCGTGAGTGGTAAACATGCTGCCCTCCTTGGGTTAGCACTTTTCTTTGGTTCAAAACATTTTCACCTATTCGATCCCAAACCAAACCCAGAGGCATAGAGTGGATTCTGACTCACAGCAACCCTACAAGAGAGAGCTTCTTATGGTTTTTTATGAGGCTGTAAATCTTTACAGGAGCAGACAACCTCACCTTTTTCCTCCTCAAAGCAGCGGATGGGTCTGAACCTCCAACCCTGCAGTTAACAGCCCAAGGTCTAACCTGCCAAGATTCTGTTTCACAAATCATACCCGCAGTATTCTATTCCATGTTATGCACACAGTAATGTTCTCAGGCACATAAGACAAGTATTAGTACTCCTCTCTGCAAAATGACTAACGGGAGAAATTAGAAGTTGCCAGATGTCTAACAAAAATCCCAGATGTCTTATACTCCAGTATATCATCTTATTCTGCATTTTATGATTTGCCTTTTAAAATGTTCTGTCCATTTCCTCTATTTGTCACATGGGTTTCTGTTTCTCCTTTTTTAAGTTCATTACTTTTTTTTGGTTTGTGGACAATATGTACAGCAAACCACGCACCAATTATGCAGTGTCTACACATACAATTCAGCGTCATTGGCGATATTCTTTGAATTGTGTAACCACCCTCACGCTGTTTCTGAGTTGTCCTCCCCCATTAACCTGTAAAGCCACAGCCCTCTAAGGTTCCTATCTCGTCTTTCCAGTTGCCATGGTCCGTTGGATCCACGTAGGTACCCAGATGCCTGTTGATCACAGGTGCTGTGCCTCAGGACCTGGTTCTTTCTATTCTCATTTCTCTGTATCTGCTCTCCCAAACCCTTCTCTCCATGCCCTGCCCTCCATCCTTTGGATGATTCATATGAATACTTGCATTTCACCTCCTGTCTAGTCTAATTGTCTGAGGACAATTAGCATCCTTCTATTTGCATTCTTCTCTGATGACACCTCCTGTCTGTTAGCCATTTGACTGTCATTGTTGGTGAACTGTCTGTTCGTGTCTTTTGTTCACTTTAATTGGGTCGTGTGTTCTTCTCATATTGATGCCTTGTAGTGTACTTGAGATTTTGGTCATTAGGCCCTTGTCCCTTGTGCCATTACTAAAAATTCCTCCCCACCACCATCTATGGGCTCTCATTTTATTCTTTTGATGAAGTCTTTGATATGCACAAGTGTCTTCTTTTTAGTAGGTCCCAGTCATCTATTTTGTCTTCCATAGTGTGTGCTTCCTTTACTATTATACTTGGTAGTCGGTGTATGCCTTGCAACAGGGCCCTTAAGTTTGTCCCAAGGTTCTCATGGCTGATCCTTGTAGTACTGGGGTTTACATTTAGGTCTTTCATCCATCGTGAGTTGTTTTTGTGCATGGAGAGAGATATGGGTCATGCTTCATTCTTCGACAAATGGAGATCCATTTTTGCCAATACCATTTGTTGAAGAGGCTGTCCCTGTTCCATTTGATAGTTTTTGGCCCTTTGACAAAAACCAGTTGCCTGTAGGTGGATGCATTTACTTCTGAGCTTTCCATTCTGTTCCATTGGTTCATGTATCTCTCATTGTACCAGCTCCTGGTAGTTTTTACTACTGTGCTATGTGGTAGGTTTTGAGGTTGGGTAGTGTGAGGCCTCCTACCTTTTTTTTTTAAAGGAGTTCTTTGCTTATCCTGGATCTCTTCCCTCTCCATATGAAGCTGGCAATTAGCTTTTCCCTTTCTTTACTGAATGAAGTTGGGATGTGGATCTGGATTGCATGGTAGCTATAGATCGACATCTAATACTTGGGACGGTTTTGCAAAGACATCGACACCACCTCTGGTTTTGTTTTGTGGTAGCAGTAGGAAAGAACAAAGCAGGATAGTTGTTCACCACGGCAATGTGTCCTCAGGAGCCCCCCACAATCTATGAGTCCCAGAGGACTTCTACACGGACCTTGATTATCTGTAGATGTTTCTTTGGCATCTACTTTCTGAGTGTCTTCTGGAATTAGGGGTTGATGGGTTGGAGATTTGGTTCTGTCGCCTGGAGAGAGAAAGACATGGATTAGGACCCTGAAGCAAGGCATCGCAGCCCAGGGATTTTCTGAGCTCCTTCCAGAGCCAAGGTGGGATGCCAAAAAGCAGCAGCAATTTGATGAGTGCAGTTAATAACGGCAGGGACAGTCACGGGTTGAATTTTCTGTCCTGGAGGTTTCATTGTCAAGTTGCCAAGGGGAGAGCCAGGGAATCTCTGCTAGGACCATAAAGATTCCACCTGGATCACCTCCTGTTTCATTCGATTGAATTATTCATTTCATATTGTGAATCATGCCATGTAACATCCAAGATTGTATCTGCAGCAATGGCTTTTTAGCTGTAGACAATGCTGTAGAGATAGAGACGAATGAACTGCTTATTACCCTGCTGGCTGCAGGGTGCACCTGTCCAAATTGCCTGGTTAACACTGGTGGCACTCCTGTTGAGTAATGGTCTAAAGAGCACGTGTTTCTAAGCCTATGAAAAGAACGGAATCCAAACCAGTGCTGCATAGTTGACTCCGACCCGTGGCTAGCCTCTCAGTATCATAGCAGAACTGTGCAGCACAGGGCTGTCAGCAGGAGAGAGCCAGGCCTTTCTTCTACGCTGTCTGTGGCTAGGCATGAACTGCCCAGCTTTTATTAGCATGCTGAGAAACAGCCCAAATTAACCCAAATCTCAAACAACAGGCTTACCTCCTGGCCTCATAGGAGGAGCTGTTGGCCTCTCTGTAGAGAAAGAGACAAGCAGGGAAACCATCACATGTCCATTCCATCTGAATAAAACTGACCAGAGCACAGCGTTCTAGAGCCGCATGCACTTTATCTAGTGTTAGCAGATGCCAGGAGCTGGGCCAGTAAGTCCCAAAAGGCACTGCTGTGCAAAGATCAGAGGTGATGCCCTGGGGTCTGACTACTTTCTCCCAGCTGTGTTTGGGTATTTCCCCCCATTAAAATGTAGTTGAAAGCTTTTAAGTATAAAAATTTCCAAATACATATAAGAGCACAACCATTAGTATAATGCATCTCCATGTATCCATCATGAACTCAACCATTATCAACACATGGTTAATTGAGTTTCAATAAGGCCCACTCCAGGCCAGGATTTTTAAAAGCAAATTCTGGATTTCTTATCAATTAGTATTGGGGACTCTTTAGGAAACTAGAGGAGCCCTGGCGGTGTAGTTGTTATGCATTGGGTTAACAGGTCAGCAGTTTGAAACCACCAGCCTCTTTGAGAGAGAAAGATGGGGCTTTCTACTCCTGTAGAGTTACAGTCTCAGAAACTCACAGGGGCAGTTCAACCCTGCCCTACAGGGTTCTTATGAGTAGGCATCCACTTCCTGGCAGTTAGTTTGGTTTGGTTTTAGAAAACAATACACACTGATCTCCAAGCAGTGGTTGAGGGCCTAAGGGGACCAGCCAGTGGAGATTGATGACCCAGAACCTTAGGAAAGTCAGATTGCATGGGCAACTACATCCAATGCCTTTGCTCTTGACTGGGAGTGTGGTAACCCCTTATGCTGATCAGATGCTCAGGGTCCATGGGACAGGGTCTTTAAGAGTAAGATGTTAGGAATCAGAGTTCTAAAGTCAGGATGTCAAGTCTTATTCAGAAAGGATACCAAAACAAGCAACCACAACAAACAAACAAATTTACACCCAATGAGTTAATTCTGACTGATAGCAACTGTGGTAGTTACGTAATCTGTTGTCAATTTGAGACTTAAGAGTGAAGGGGTGGAGTTAACCTGTCAATCAGGTCTCAGCTTGATGACCTCATTTCGAGTCACTAAGGAAATAAACAGCTCACTGGAGTTGGGACACTCACATACTCCCTGGGATCCATGCTTGCTGACAAGACACATGAACTATGCTAGAGCCCTGGCACTGGAGGAGCCACGTGGAGACCCCTGGCAGCACTGAAATGCCTTGACCGCCACTGGATCCACAAGACTTTCCACCCACTGGCCTATGATCTTCCTGCATTCGGCATCATTGCATGTGTTTCGTGAGTCTGAAGAGGACTTTATAGATTGGCATTGGACATATGGGCTAATATCAGACTATGGACTTGATCTAGACTGGGCTGAGGTGTTTTCTCAGTATTCCATTGCTCTTGTATCTAAATCTCTTTCTTATTCACATATGAGTGTCTATGAATGTGTTTCTCTAGTCTACCTGAACTAACATAGCAATCCAATAGGTGTGTGTGTGTGTGTGTGTGTGTAGAGCTGAAACTCATTCACTTATTTACTGAAAACAAATCACTTAGATCACATTAAAACCATGGTTTTTTAGTTGATTCCAACTCCTAGTACACCTATAGGACAGAATAAAACAACAACAAAACAATAACAAAAAGCTCACTGCCATTGAGTCAATGCTGACTCATAGTGACCCCCTGTGGGTTTCCATGAACTCTGTTTATGGGAGTAGAAAGCCCTGTCTTTCTTGCTTGGAGCTGCTGGTGGTTTTGAACTGCTGCCCATGCAGATTGCAGCGCAACACGTAACCATTACACCACTAGCGCTCCTGCAGGCAGGATAGAGCTGCCTTAATGGATTTTTCAAGGCTGCAAATCTTTTTTAGAAGCAGAATGCCACATCTTTCACCCATGGAGTTGCTGGTGGGTTTGAATTGATCACTTTTAGGTTAGTAACCAAGCACCTAACCACCAAGCCACCAGCGATCTTTAACACTTGCATAGTATCCACTATATGTCCCCCGTGTATTATAAAACCAAATTTAGTTAATCCTGATAATCTTATGAAGTAGGTGCTATTCTAGTTTAAGACAAGTACACAAGGACAATGAGGTACAGGGAGATTAATCTCACAGTTGCACTTGGATTTGAACCAAATATGAAGGAGACAAACTCCGAGACAGGAAGTGGGGATAGAGCTGCAAAGGAGAGAGTCCCAGCCCTCCCAGTAACTCTAAGGAGTTACACCCTACAGGTCGGCCATAAGGTCTGGAAAGACAGGAGAACATTAATATTAACTTTGTGATGCTTCACTACAAGGTATAATGTATACTATAGTCAGTGATAGTACACGATTTGCCATTCTACAAGGCCACTTGGCCAAACCCTGCTTTAGTTACTGTTCGACAAGTCCCTTGCCACTCTGGAGTGATGGGACAAGGGCGTGCAATCCTGTTGGGACCACAATGGGTGGCCTTCAAGTGCACTCAGTCATTGGCCAAGCATGGTATGCTTGCAGACGTCACCCCAGCCTTGTAGGACAGGAGCAGTTAAAGTACAGCCTGTGAGGCACTATGATTCTTATTCCGCCCCCTGCTGCCAGTCTGGTTTGGGGGGCCCCTGAAAGGCTTCCCAGTAGAAATTATTTTTTTGTAAATTCTTAAGTTGAAATAATTTCATAAATAATTGCAAGATTTATGAAAACTTGTGAAAATAGTAAAAAAATTCCCATGAACCCCTCACCTAGGCTCTCCAAATGTTAATCATTTTACCTGCTTACTTGCTTCGTTATCTGTCTCTGTGTGCAATCCCACCCCCAAGAGCAAGTTACACTGATGCCCTTTATTTCT